TTTGCCCACAGACTGCATACCACTGGATGACTGCGAATCTTCAAGGGAGGCTTCTGTATCCGTTCTTCTTCGCCTCTTGGGAAGGGGACTAGCTCTGTCTTCACTGGATGCCTGGGAATGCTTTGTCCTGAGGTACGGGCTACTCCTGTCATTGCTGGCATTCTGACCCTGGCGAGTTCTCGAGTGTGGACTAGTTCTATCATCATCAGATGGCCTCTTGTTACTATTGGGAGGCTCATCTGGCACTGCTAGACCTTTAATTTGCAGCAACTCTGCCACTTTGATCAGCTGTGCTAGGTCTGATTGGGCAACACTTACAATACCAGCATACATATAACTAAGAAGAGCCTCAAGCTCATCACATCGAACATCTCGCAACACAATAACAGGGTGTTTACATGGAGTATTTTCAAACATGTTTTCAAAGTATTCACTACAAGTTGATAACACCAACTTGTGTACGGGGTAAAACTTTCCTTCACACGCCAAGGTGACATCTGTGTACCTGTCCTGAAATGCCAAAAAGAAATAAATCCAAAACTGAAAACAAAATCCTCATTTCCAATACATCATGCCAAATACATATTAAAGAAACCTTGGAAATCATAAACATAAAAAATAAATAAATAATCCTTTCAGAGAACCAAGGCTTATGGCTCAAATTTTCTGATAAATTTTCAAAGGTTAAATTAATAAAATTACAATATTTTCCTATTCACTTCATTAATTTCAAAAATATTTAAAAGAAATATATCAGCCTGCTTGAAACAGGATATGACACAGCTAATTTAGGCAAATGCTTCCACTTCTCACTTCCTTTCTTAGTCTGCACATTTCTCAAGGGACTTTCACATTATATTTATCAGGTTTTCATTTTTTCTTGCAAAATTATATAAAACAAATATAAGTATGTTAGTCTACTTGAACTTTCTTGCCATTTATCTATGAAATTAACTGTTAAACAAAATCAACCTTGACAAAAATAAAAAATATTATTTGCTACTATGTATAAATCTAACAGGCTTTTCCATACATTCTCAACTCTGATACCAACTTTTAATTATATATTTTTTTACTATAAGTTCTTCTGTAAAATGGTTCATCTTACTACCTGGAATATATCACAGCTTTATCTATTAAGGGAATTTTTGCCTCATATACACAGAACACAAATGGAGAGAGAAAATAAAAATGATGCAAATGAGAATAATGTGGTAATTAAGTAAAAAAATTCAATTTTTTTTTTTTATATATATATAGCACAGGAAATACAGACTGTTCTAATATACTGACACATAAAATGGGAGACAAACCTTTGCTCTTAGTGTGGAAAGCGTATGGCAGAACGTGGCGCTGTGGTTGTTCCACGACAAGGAAAGCATTCCATCCCCCATCGTGGACTGATCATTTAGGCTGAGAAATGTAAAAAGAAAAGTCCATTAAGGTTACCTGAACAAATCTCACATTATATATATATATATATATATATATATATATATATATATATATATATATATATATATATATATATATATATACTGAAGGTATATATATGTATATATGTATACGTTTATATAGACATGTATATACGTAGATATATATATATACTTATATAGAGAGAGATATACATATATATATACATGGAAATATACATATACATACTTAGAGATATACATATATATATATACATACACACACACACACACACACACACACACACACACACACACACACACACACACACACACACACACACACACACATATATATATGTACATATATACTATACATATACATATATACTATATATACACATACACTATATATACTATACATATACATATATACTATATATACACATACACTATATATACTATATATATACATATATACTATATATACACATATACTATATATATACATATATACTATATATATACATATATACTATATATATACATATATACTATATATATACATTTATACTATATATATACATTTATACTATATATATACATTTATACTATATATATACATTTATACTATATATATACATTTATACTATATATATACATTTATACTATATATATACATATATACTATATATATATATATACTATATATATACATATATACTATATATATACATATATACTATATATATACATATATACTATATATATACATATATACATATACATATATACACATACTTATATATTTACATATACATATGTGCATATACATATATATAAATATGTATCCATGTGTACATATACATATATACGTGTGTATGTGTATAAGTGTGTATAAGTGTGTGTGTGTGTGTGTGTGTGTGTGTGTGTGTGTGTGTGTGTGTGTGTGTGTGTGTGTGTGTGTGTGTGTGTGTGTGTGTGTGTGTGTGTGTGTGTGTGTGTGTGTGTGTGTGTTACTTCACCTAATTACTTAATCCACCTAATTGACTAAGTCACTCTATGTATGCATAGCTAGGTTGTCATTTCTTCTTCTTGTAGTGGTGCAAACTCTAATAAATGTTTTTTGAAACTCCAACACTTATTTCTACATTCAAATTAACAGGGGAAAGAGTGGTACAGTATAGATGTACATGCCAGAGACTAAGTCCCCCAACTCAACAACAAAAACGTTATTTAACAACCGAAATTGCCGCTGCTGTGGCTTTCTTACATGGCAACTTTGCATTCTAGACAGGGGGAGGGTGTAGACACAAAACAAAAACAAAAATACATGATCATCACATACATAGATTAGCCCTTTGATCCAGGGAATGTGACTATAATGTCATGAAAATATTTGGCAGAGGGCTGATGGAAATATACCATGATAGGAAATTCTGACTAAATGCCAGGCTGACAGGAATATGCCATTATGAAAACTTTAGCCAAGGGTTCACATGACAGGAATGACTCATCATGTGTACATAAAGCTGTTATAGGAAGATTGGACTCACAAGTCATTTAGGAAGGAACTCTTATATTATTGACACAGCAGGTAAATGACAGTTTAACCCCTCAGTGACAGGTATCAAATATCTCTCAGCATCATAAACTCTTGTGTTTTCTGGCAATGCCCATGCCACTGGGCACGGGAATCCACAACACGTAGTAGAACTTCCCGCTCCATGCACTCTAGCGCATCGCCCCTCATATCGACGTATCCCGCAGACCATGCGGTTTGTTGTTACAGCTCTAAGTGTGACCCATCCATAAGGGGTTAATAAGCCATGGCTTGAAGAGCTCCAGCTCCTAGGAAGACACTATATCCATTCTCAGCACTTTCTTACCCAGAAAATTAAATAATACAAAATATATCAAAAGATGATACAAATAGCACAATACTATTTGTCTTAATTATTACTGTAAGGGGAAGGCATGGTGTATTGTTACCACATGAGTGTTCATGTGGGCCAGCCATACATGCCACAATCTCGGGAGCGTCACCACCCAAGAAGCCTAGTCCCCAAATTTTGGTCCAGGTGTAGGCCGTGAAGGACCCAGTTCATATAATTTCTCTTTACACCCTACAATTACAGTGACACACCTATTGCCCTCCCCATATATCAGATATAGTATCAGAACCCTGTCAAGCTCTGACTAAAACCATCACATACACACACTTTAGTAGACATCAAAATGACCAGCAGTAATCTGTTCATGTTTTGAAGACTAATTACCAATGTCAAATGGCTCAATCTTGCCAAAATAAGCAATGCAGAGTTTGCAGGCCACCGGTAGTATACCAATAGTTCAAAATGCAGTACTTGAAAGACACAATCTGTAATTGTGAACCTGAATCTTTTAGAACACAAGTTTTATAACCCCACAACCATAAAATCATGACTCCTCGCTTAGCACCTAAAATCTACAACCGCATTTGTAATCTGAAATAAGACGGAGCGACTTCATTGTCCATTCAACCCAAAAAATTCATCAGTTCCTTTCAGAAACATTGCAAAAACGCCACCCCAAGGAATACAGTTACCAAATTCTTATCCGCTCTCAACACTCCCCGTAGCCAAAGAGCAACACCCGCGGCAAAGTAGAATAAACGTGAACAAAGAACAGCTATCTTGTTGTTCATGGGTTTTCCCTGAGGTTCGAAGGTGACGTGATTTATGCCGGGTCCTTCTCACTAACCCCTGCACGCCTGTAGCCCCGGCTGGTTTGCGCTCGGAGTCCAGACATCAACTATGACAAGCCGTGAGTCATGATAGTAGCGAAGAGAGAGTGAGTAGCGTGGAAAAAAGGTGAATGGAAACCGACGCACCTCGAGAGCGCTGGCCGAGGGAAGGTTTGTTTGGTTCCAACAATGGCCGCGGCAATGGCACCTCCTCTGGCAAAAGGAAGACTTTTGGACGAGTAATGTCTGTACTTTTTGCTTTATTTGAGCTTAATTATACACCTTTCCTCTTAGAACTCAGACTCCATCGTGTAGTTGTCTTTTTAGATTATTTTCAATACACTACCTTCGCTGTCTTAACTCATCTCTCTCGGGATAAACTAAACTCTTTAGAAAGTTTGCAATCAATGGGTATTTTTGAATAAAAATATGACAATGCTAAATGGATAAATTAGCAAACATGGACCTCGTCGACATATAGCGTGATTCAAAATGCTACTCAATACATCAATAATTACACAATTCGCTATACCTCGTCACGGCGCTTTCTTAGGCATCAAACGGATCTTTAAAATGTCACATTCAGAATTCAGATGATTATTATTATACATCTATTAATCATGCTCAATCCGCAATCAGCATCCATTAACAGGATTAACGGGAAACCTTCAATATCTTGCATTGAAACAACCCGAAGATGCCGGCAAGTTTCCATGTCAGGAAATACATACAAAACATATACGATTATACATATGAATAGATTATTAAACAGAATTATTAATCTTAATTTTAAATATATATCAAATTGCCTTCTAAATCAGAATATGTAAATGTCTGAGAGTCTAGGGAGTAAGTTTTGCAACTGATGCATTTGTTTTAAATGGACAGTCCTGCGAGAGGCTTCATGATGACTAAAGCTCCCGGTGTCCGAGTAACGGCATTCGGGCGGGATCTTAGGCGTGAATTGGCACACGGACACAACGGCATATGGCAAGACAGTTGTATTCTTGTCATTTCATATATCTATATACATCAATCTGTCTGTCTGCCTGTCTCTGTCTCTGTCTGTCTGTCTGTCTGTCTGTCTGTCTGTCTGTCTGTCTGTCTCTCTCTCTCTCTCTCTCTCTCTCTCTCTCTCTCTCTCTCTCTCTCTCTCTCTCTCTCCTCGCTCTCTCTCTCTCTCTCTCTCTCTCTCTCTCTCTCTCTCTCTCTCTCTCTCTCTCTCTCTCTCTCTCTCTCCTCTCTCTCTCTCTCTCTCTCTCTCTCTCTCTCTCTCTCTCTTTCTCTCTCTCTCTCTCTCTCTCTCTTTCTCTCTCTCTGTCTCTCTCTCTCTCTGTCTGTCTCTCTCTCTCTCTCTCTCTCTCTCTTTCTCTCACTTTCTCTCAATCTCACTCTTTCTCACTCTCTCTCTATCTCACTCTAACTCACTCTCTCTCACTCTCACTTTCCACGTACACTCACATATATATATATATATATATATATATATATATATATATATATATATACATATATATAATATACAATATATATAATATATATATATATAATATATGTATATAATATATATATATATATATGTATATATATATATATATATATATATATATATATATATGTGGTGTGTGTGTGTGTTTGTGTGTGTGTCTATGTATGTATGTATGTATGTATGTATGTATGTATATATAAGCGTGTGTGTGTGAATGAATGTATTTAAGCAATATATGCTATGACTATCTATATATCAATATGCTTGTTATTTATCTATGTATGTACAGTATATGTTTGTGCATGTATGTATGCATATATATATATATATATATATATATATATATATATATAGAGAGAGAGAGAGAGAGAGAGAGAGAGAGAGAGAGAGAGAGAGAGAGAGAGAGAGAGAGAGAGAAGGAGATACAGAAAGATACATACACATACACAATGAGTGAGTGAGTATGTTTGTCCGGTTAACTCTGTAAGATTGAATGAGTATTTGGATCAGCTTGCGTTATTATTGTTGAATAGTTATCCCTTCTGCATGTTGCCTCGTGTCTTTCTGGTTTTATGTAGAAGTTTGAGCTTATCTTACTTGGCCCTCGTGCGTGTATATAGCCCTGCCACAATAACGCTGATGGTCTTCAAGCTAGGATGCGGTGTGCGTAATAATCGTCTTTTTTAGATACTCTTTGGCTTGACGTCCAATGCCATATACATTAGTTTGTCTAGCTAACAGTGGCTCACTGCGGTGCTATGTTTTTCTTAAACGTTGAAACTTAATCTCGAACACATTTTTACTTTGCAAGTTACATCTTAATACATTCAGACTATAAGCCTGTGTGTGCCGTCCCCTGTATCAGTCCCCCTCCAATCCCATTGATGTAAACCTTCACCGACGCAGAAGGAATTCATTCATTTCCGTCTTTTGATCGATTCTTTGACCTCTCTACGTTTTCCAACACTTTGTAGCTGCAGTGTTTTAAGCACACTGGGCCTTGTTTTTCATAGCATGATGGCTCAGTTTGCGTGCAATTTCTAATTGTGCATGCTGTAAGGTTACGTCCTTATACATTTTGATTACTTTCTAAGAATATTCATCTCACACTCAAGATTCTTTCATGATGTATCTGTCACTGGTTATCACTTATTTTATTGATTTACAAATATATAGGTTTGATCCTCTATTTATTTATTCATTTTTATTTTATTATTCTAAATTTGTTTGTGTGATGCGATTGGATGAAGAAAGAAAAACGCACAGAGAACATAGGTACACACAAGAACAGTAGCGGAGGAAAATATGGATTCAGTCAAGAGAGACAGCGAGCGGTATGCAGAGACAGTAGTACCACATTACCTGGACGGTCTTGAGAAGGTCGTCCTCGGAGGGAACCAGGGTGCATTCTGTGTAAAACTCACGCCGAAGGTACGCCAATAGCTCATCGAGTGTACACCAACGTTCCCGATAAGAGTCATTTTTCATAAAGTATGACGCCAAGTGCAATCACATTGTCTCAAAAACTTCAGGACACGGCGACACTTTTGAAAACTATGGAAGTGATAAAAAACAGCCGCAAGGAGTGTAGTGGGGGGGGGGTGCGTTGTAAAGGAATAAAACAAACGACTATGTATACGTGCATTGCGTTCAACTTAAAAGCTTGAAAAAGCAGTAAAGATAAAAAGAAAAACATGCGCCGAGATTTTTCCACTTCATTACGCCAATACGCCAAGGAATATAATTTAGGCTAAATCCACGCCGCCACGCCAACAGGAAAGCTAACTCCACGCCGGAGATCTTCGGACCTCAGTGCATGAAATGTATCCTGGGGAGGGAATCATGATGTCGCCCTGGAAGAATCCGGGCCGAGGGCTTGAGTCGTCTCCCTCTCTTCCCTTTCCTCATTCTCCCTCCCTCCCTTCTTTTTCATCCCTTTCCTCCCTCTCCCTCTCTCCCCTTCCCTCCCTCTTCTGTCTCTTCCTCTCCGTCAGCCTCCCCGAGCCCATTTCCAAGCCTAAAGACAAGCTCCTCCTTAGCCAAAGGTGGTTCAGATATGTCGTTCTCGGGAAGAGTGGAGGATTAGGCCAGCTATTCAGTCTATGATCTGGCTTATCTTCGTGTATTCGGGTTATCCAAGGAAGAAAATAAGGGGGAAGAGGCAAGAAGGCAAGTCCTCAAGCCTGACACATGCACGCAGTTTTTGTTTTATTAAAAAGTTACTTTTACTGGGAATTCCACATGTCTATGATAAACACATGGAACGTTTATCTGTCAAGTTGCCTATATTTTTTTCCTCTATGTATTTACGCTTGTATACAAGTAGGTAGATAAAGATGGGCGAGGACCGTCAACGAGAAAGCGACGACGCTGATCACCTGTAGTCTTTTTATCTTTAGCAAGGCTAACACTGCTTTGGCAGATTCCTTAGGGCCACAATGCCAGACACATGCTGAATAGCGATAGTCTAGGATAGCCACACTAGAATACTCACGAAACGTGTAGGCCCTTCTCTGAGAAATTACGATATTTTATGAATAACCTTCAAGCTTCTCCGCATAACTGAGACCTTGTGATCTGGCGACATATATGTACATCTATATCTATATACTTATATATATGCGTACATATATATATATATATATATATATATATATATATATATATATATATATATATATATATATATATATATATATATATATACACACACACACACGTGCATGTGAATGAGAGTGTGGGCGCAGGGGGTACAGTCGTCATGGATCATTTCGACTTCGCGCCGGGTACAGCTATAGCTGTCATGATTAGTCATTCATTGTGGTCTTCACGCCAGTGGCGGGTATGGTCGTCATTGTGGAATACCCTGACAATGGACTGTTCTCATAGTTATTTCTTAATGTTTCTACGCCTTGTGACACCAGGCATTACAGCATGTCAAGTGGCTCACGTTATATCAGTTATTTTCGCCTCCAATTTTGACGTCATGTCGCTTGACCTGACCTAATCGGCAATAAAACTATAAAAGGGCCAGTATAGGTCAAGGAAAGATATTCTTTATATCCTGGATATTACAAAAGGGTTCTAGGATGCAAAATGAACCAGACAGAGTTCATGGTTGAGCATGGTAGAAAAACCCACAATGTAAAAACTAGATTTATCAAAAATGAGACATTTTCGGAATCCACCTGGATTCCATCCTCAGGTCTGGAGATGGAATCCAGGTGGATTCCGAAACTGTTGTCTCATTTTTAATAAATCTAGTTTTTACATTGTGGGTTGTTCTACCATAGTATCAACACGGTAGAGACAAGGAAGGGCGGGCAACACTCCAGCCCCTACCCCACCTCCTCCACTTATTCCTGCTCCTGTTGCTGATGATATTCCTCCTCCAGCAGAGGTTCACATACCAGAGGACACACCATTTCGGCGATGAAGGCGGCGTGTTCTCTGATGGAGGCAGAACCGCGGAAGGGGACGAGGGTGATTTGTCGTATTTGTATCGGCCTCCTGTGGGAGGTCATTGAATGTCCAGTGGAAAATACATCAACTATTGTTGTATTATTGTAAACAGATGTATAGTTTAAAAAGAAGAAATACACAAATAATCATATTCGGTATTTCTGTCGTCCTGTGCAACCACTTCCATTGTAGCCTGTCCAACACCATTCTCTAGGCCATTTTTCTTGTTTTCGAGAAGAAATCTTGGTTAAACTGCCTCCATTTTTGCAAGTCCTGACTAACAGGAGCTTATCTTGGCTTTGAAAACCCTTATTAACTGGAACAGGCTATCAAAACCATTCGGTATGGGTGAACTTTAAATTGGGCCAGACAACTCAGTCTCACTCTCAATCCAATTCGGTTAAGCTTTTTTGACTGTAAAGGCTGTAGGTCTGGATGGACCAATCCTGACACTCAGTCAGTTGGTTCTAGGACAAGTTTAACCTTACCCAACCCAAGGAACCAATTTCCCATTTTCCATTTCTCATTTCTCTCCTTAGCTGCCGTGAAAAATGGCATAGAGAATGGTGCTGGAGAGGCTCTAATGGAAGTTCAAATCTCTTTACTGCATGGGTTCATCTGGGGAATAAAAACTGTGCACAGTGTAGCCACTTTCGTGAGTACTGTCGAAACTGTCGCTACTGGAGTGGCTTTGAACTCTTTCTAGAGGGAGGAGGATCAAGGGAAAATTCCTGGCCTGTTTATGGGGCTACTTCGGGAATGTATCTGCGAGGGTGAGATCCCTGAGTCCTCATCCAAAGCACCAACCACTTCTGAATAGGACCTGTCAGGGTGTGGTTCTCAAACTGACATTCTGACATCTAACTCTCAGAAGGGTGCAGGAAAATCTCCTATAAGATGATATTGCACTCATCTATCCAGGGAAGAACATGATGAATAAGATTCAGCATTGTCTGAAGCTCATGATTGCTGTAGAGTACTCAAGTTGAAGTTGGATGTCCAAGGTTAAACATTTCATGTCCAGAGACTGAACCTGGAATGGATGTAGGTGTTGCAGTACCCTGTGGTGTGGGTAGACCAGAAGCTCACTCTCCAGAGGGAGCCATTAAGGCAAGAATATTTATCTTGAAAACATTGACTGGGAGACACAAGCTGGACACAAGGGCCCAAGATAATTTTATATCTGTACAATCATGGATAATGCTTCCAATTACTATTACACCCAAACTCAGGGACAAATTGAACCAGAAAATTTTGGGTGCCCCCTGATAAAAGGTATTAAAATGCCTTGACTCGATTATGGACAGTAAAAAATCCAGTGATGGTTGTACTACTCAATCAAGGTGCCAATACACCTTCAGTTCAAGGAACAGTAAATATTCCAAGAGGTGGCATGTAAATTTACAAATATATACAAAATATGGTATATACAAGTAGGAGTGAAAGCTGTGGCTCCATCATTGAACACCCTGTCTCCCGAAACTGGCCTGAGACACAGATAACAGTCCCTCTCACTTAGGGTGAGGCGCAGGGATCTGCTAGGTGCAGCCACTGGCAGTTGGCAGCCATTCATGAACCATACTGGGATAATAAAGAACCCAAGATTAGGGCAAAGGACACTGATACACTGGACAGACTAAATGAGGTGAGGGAGGGCAAATGCATGTGAGCTGTCAGCTACAAGGCTCTAAGCCCTGGTTGCCATGGCAGTCAAAAAAAGAATTCAATAACCATTTTGAGACAGATGCACTACAAATCTGCATGAGGAATGTAAAAGCAGTACCTCGCTGTCTGTAGAAACTAGACTAGGGGAGTTCTAAAGCTCTAGGATCCACAAAAGAATAGTTTGCAATTGCAGCCAGGTGGGTCAAGTCTGTTGCAAGGGATTGATAAGAATGGAAGAGCCATGCAGCTAAAGCTATGGTATAATCTAACTTGCTCCAGAGGTATGTAAGCACTCCTGAACTAATAATGCCAACTAATAATGCCACTTCATAGAATTATTATGGTGATTACTTATGTGATTTGCCGCCACTTCTGGTAGTGTGTGACCTCTGCAGAAGCTCCATATATGAAGCTGTAAGTACTTTGTGATGTGAAAGACATGAGCCCCTTGCAGCACCAACTCATTTGGGGGAAGGGGGTGCAGACATTATTAGAGCACAGATGTGGATGGATGGGATTCCTACAGGGAGCAAGTCAGGTACCTCTCATCCATCTATCAGAGGAGAACCATCAAACGGTCTAAGGACAAGGTAACAGAGTGAATCTACGGCTTTAAATGCATGGTTTAGGGAACACAGCAGACTCTCCCAATGTTGACATAACAAAGGAAGCAGAAATAGTCTGAAAGATCTTCCAAAGCCCCTTCCCTGCCCCTTGAACCATGGTCCACTAGAGGCCCAACCATATAGTACTTAGGGGAGTTCAACAGCAAGCTCATTAACTTGAAAGTTCTGAAAGTTCTCATCTTTTTCCATTCTCATGTGGATCTCTCTCTCTTCTCTCTCTCTCTCTCTCTCTCTCTCTCTCTCTCTCTCTCTCTCTCTCTCACACACACACACACACACACACACACACACACACACACACACACACACACACACACACACACACACACACACACACACACACACACACACACACTCACACAATATGACAATACAAAATATATATATAATAGTAATATGTTAAAAAACTGCCCTTAAATAATTCCCACCTTCATGATTTCCCATTTCTTGTTACTCCACAAGTTCCAGTTTTCTTGGGGGATACTTTTTCAATACCATATATTTTCAGTATATTTTACACTTACAATTATATATATTTATTTGTATCTCAGTGATTTTTTCTGAAACTTTAGATCCTAAATTATCTCTGATTCTAAATGGTCTGATTCCCTAAACTCTACTAGTGTTAATGTAGCTTAAAGGAGTAGAGTAACCCTGTGTTAAAACAAAACACTTCAAAATAATGGTATACATCAACCTCCTGAGTATTACTTACATATATCAATGAAGTGACTTTCTCAGTTTGCTTATAGGAAGGAAAAAAAAATTGTATTTTTTCTATGTTGTGTCCACCCTTGTTACACATAAAATACCAAAATTAAAAAAACCCTATAATGTATGTGAGCACTAAGTACATTTTCCAGGAGAAATAAAATAAAAGAATAAACTGTATGAAAAATGTATTCACCTTAGAAACCAAAACATTTTCTTTTTCTTTTTTTTGTACAAACCAAAAAAATATTTCTTTTCCTTAACAGAGATACAAAAAAACAATCCTCATACACTACATCATTCATCACAACTAAATTTGTTTATAATGATTTAGCAAAAACTTTTAAAAAACCTTCAAATTCAAACTAATTTTGTTTCATCTCAGTTCCATCTAATGGAAGCACATCATG